CGGCAGGAGCACCCCGGCAGGAAGGTCAGGAGCCCTCTTCCCTGTGTTCTGAGGATCAGGAACAAAGCTGAGAGGACAAGATCCAGCAACTGGATGGAGGGACCCACGGGTGACCTTGGAACAAAGCTAGAGGCCAGAATGAGGGGTGTGAAGGGATCGAGGGCCGGGGACTGAGGAGACAGCCAGGGGAACACCATGGGGCTGGTGGAGGCTCTGCTTCCCCAGCGGCTGTCAGACTCTCCCTTCCCCTCCTGAGCGGTGGCCGAGCCCCATCCCTCCACAGCCACAGACCATTTGGCTGGTTCACTCGGCGACCTCCCTGAGTGTGGCTGGAGTCTCAGAGATGGAGCTAAATAAAGCTGAGAGGCCTGGCTCTGTGAGAACGGTGATTGCTTCCCTGCCACACGGCGTGGATGCTGAGATCCCATGACCCAGGGCCCAGGGTTCCTGTAGAGCCAGGTTTCCCACGGCCAGCGCGAGGCCTCTGGGGATCACATCTCTGTGGGAAGGGAGCTCGGTGATCACACTCTCCTCCTTCCCAGGTAGCAAGGGGCTGGTGGGAATAAGGCTGCACCAGGCCCTGGGTACAGTTCCAGGCCAGTCACAGTCCAGTCACAGCCACATCAGCAGCCAGGGCTCCCTTCAGCAAAGAGAGACACGTGTGTCTAAGACCAAGCGATGGCCCAGGAGTAATACCTCCCCCAGATCACTGCCTGCCCTACACTTCTCCTTGTGACCCCATCCTCGGGCAGCTGGCCCTGCTCGCCATACAGGACCCTCCCTGAGGCCACGCTAGGTGGTCATGGGACTCAGGGTCTCCTTCCTGGAGAGAGGCCTAGACTCGGGGAGCCAGGCTGTTAGAGCGGGGCCTGCTGGTGCTCACATGGCAGGTGACAGAGGTAAGTAGGTGGGGGGATATCACACAGCTTGGAGATTGTGTCTGCTGTTTGATGAACTTGTCTGGGACTCCTCGGAAGTAGAGAAAGCAACTACCTCCTTAGCTGGGGGCCCCTGGGTGATAACAATGCTATTGCCCTGCGAGCGTGGGCAGACCAGTCTGGAGCAGTTGTCAGTTTTCCTTCTTTCCCCCCCAGCCCATCAATCTCTTACTCATTTTAGGTTTTTTTCACTGTTTTCACCCTTCCCTAATGGGAAGAATTCATTTTGTCATTGGGAAGGGATATTTAGAGTGCACACAACATATCTGGCCCAGGGCCAGGGCCTTCCATCAATGCAGGATTCAAACCGGGACTGCCGGGGTTTGAATCCCAGTTCCACCTCTTATTAACCATGTGACCTGGGACATGTTTAACTCCTGTGCATGGGGAAAGACAGGAATGACAGTGCCCACCACACAGGGCTGTTGTGAAGATTAGATGTGCTGATATTTGCTAAGCGCTTGGAACACCATTTAGCACTTAGCAAAAACCAAACCTTAAATTTGATAAAGCCACATTTAAATTTGGAAGCCATCAGCGTTCCTATTTGAGACGACTGGTCTCCAAACCATTTGACAAGAACCCAAGGCGGTTGGCTCCGTTGGAACGGACCATCAGAGGCTGTCACTGGTTGTCCCACAAGCAGACAGGAGCCTGTCCTGCCTCCTGCTCATTAGTGTTGATATGCTCAGCACAGCATTGATACGTCCATCGAGCACGCGCTCATGTAGAAACGCCACTTTGCGAACCTTTCAAGTGTTGTGAAGATGTCAGCCCCAATGCAGACTCATCTGGGGGTGGCAGAGGAGAGCCGCTCATTTTCAAACCTGTCGAATAGCAGCTCAGGCAGCTTTCTGAGCCCAGCGGCTGAGAGGAGGCTCTGGAGGAGGAACCGGGCAGCACAGGGCAGCGGGCAGGAGCGGAGCGCGGACTTGGCCTCCCCAGCCAGGCCTGCCCTGGGCAGTGGGGTGAGAGTGCACTGCAGAAGGAAGGGCCCGTGGCTCCGGGGCCCTCAGCACAAACTCCCTCTGGATGGCCATCACTGTCCTCACAATCATGCACACGTCACGGAATGGCTTTAGGGACCAAAGGAGCTCTTCTCCATAGAGCCCTCAGCATGCTCCAGCTCTTTAAGGAGGGTTGTGTGGTTAATGTAACCTTTCCTTAGAGAGTGGGCAGGGCTTCGGTTGGGGCAATGGGCCACGCGTCCGTTTTTAGCAAGAGCAAAAGTATAGGAGGACCCGCCTAGTCCACAGCCAGGTCTCTCCGCCCCAGTTCTCACATCAGTGACCTGCGTGTAATGACTGACTAGCCTCGGAGTCAGGGGCTTTCACATAAAAGCCTTTCGCTTTCTCAGCCCTGAGCAGACAGCTCCCCACCCCCACCCCACCCAGCTCATTTCTCTCGGCTTCCCAGTAACAAGCCCTAGCTTGGGAAGAGACAGGCTTCGGCCCAGGGATATTTGTGCAGGGATAGGTGGAGGTAGTTTCAGGAGCTTGATTCATCAGCAGCAATCTCGGTCAAACAGGTTCCTGCAGCTTCTAGAGGCCTCTTTGTTCCATTGTTAGCAAGAGCCCGACAGGCCTCCCCACAGCCTGGAAGGGGCAGGGGGTGGGAGGAAGGGCCTGGAGCCTGGCCAGCGGGCTGCTGCCCATGGCGATGGCATCTCTGTTCACACAGCACCAGGGATCCGATTCTGTTTGATTGTAGCTTGTTGACCTCGGGCACTTGGCCTCCCTTGCTGTTTTCTCCTCGAGGGTGGAGGGGTGGCCAGAATCTGCGGAAAGAAGCTGGAACCACACCGGCTTTAAGGACTAGATATCTTTGAAGAGTTTTTCCAACTCTGCAAGTCAATGATGGGGAAACTGGGACATCAGTGGACATTCAAACATTCTAATAAAAAGAGGGGGTTGGGGGGAGAAGGCTGCCAGATCATTTGAAGCGTAGAATTGGTTATGATACAATGGAATATTAGTCAGTCCTCAAAAGGAACGAAGTATGGATACGTGGCACACAAAGGAGGAACCTTGAAAGTGTCATGCTAAGTGAAAGATGCCAGGCTCCATAGGGCCACATAGTACACGATTCCACACAAATGTCCAGAGCAGTCGAATCCATAGAGACGGGAATTAGATTTGTGGTTGCCAGGGGCTGGGGGGGGGGAATGGGAGCAACTGCTAACATGCATGGAATTTCTTTCTGAGGTGATGGAATGTTCTGGAATTAGACAGTGCTGATGTTTGCGCAGCTTTGTGGATGACTTGCACACTTTAAAAAGGTGAACATTATGGCATGTGGATTGTATCTCAATTTTAAAAATTATAAAAAGAGTTGGGGTTTTAGTCTGTAGGAAACTATGGCAGTTGGTCAATTATCTGCCTGACAGGTATTCATTGAGCACCTACTGTGCGTCAAGGCACATGCATGACAGTCTGTTCCTCCTTCAGGAAATCCCGCTAACTCTCTGTGCCCGCTTGGGCGGTTTCTCTTCTCTGATCCCCCGATTCCTCATCTGTGCCTATGAATGCACAGGAGGCCGAGGTCCAGGCAAACACCATGTGGTTCCTCATCACCCGAAGCAACGGCGCCCAGACCTGATGGTGCCTCCGAACTTGACTCAGAGCTCCGTGAAATCGCGGGTTCCTGAAGGCTCCGTTCCAGTCACCCCCGGGGTGGCTTTCGTGCCCATGGTTCTTGGCCCTGTCAGGTTCTGGAACCCCTGCCCGGGCCCCTCGGAGCCCAAGGCCCGGCTGCTTAGCCATGAGAAATGAAGACCCCCGCCTCCTCCGGTGGCATTCTGGATTGTTCCAGGTCCGCGAACGCGCCTCAGAACCTCCACGTGCGCTCCTCCTTGGGGGACACTGTCTCACAGACCCTGCCCGGGGACCCAGTGTTCTCCCACCTGCCAAATTCATTTTCCTGCCCTTCGCTCTCCGCTGATGCTACACAGAGTGGAGCCGGGGAAAAGCTGTCCAGGTTCCCAAACTAAAGCAAAGCCACTCAGCCGTTTCTAGGGCCGTTTTACACTTTAGAAATCGGCTGCTGCTTTGGCCCAGTTTCTCATTATCCCGGGAAATATTTTCCAGGGAGCTTCCTAAGCACAGGCCATAGGTGACGCCCGAAGGGCACATTTATTGTCCTTTAAGGTAGGATTGCCATTTACATAGGCTAGGCACGCGAACCTTAACGCGAACAGCAGTTTACACGCATGCGCGCGCACACGCACGCTCACGCGCATGCACCCGCACACACGCACGCACACTCACGCTCGTGCATGCACGCTCGCCCGCAGAGCTAGGCTGCGTGGACGGGCGCCCGGCAGCAGAGTGAGGCCCTGATCCCCCAGCTTCTGAGCCGCGCGCCGTTGAACCGGCCCCGCAGCCGGCAGGCGACCACCAGGGGGTGCCGGCGTCTTTCGGTTGCAGCGCAGGCCGGCGGCGAAGGAAGACACAGGTGAGGGCTGACTAAGTTCTTGCCTAAGGTGTCAAAGGGGGGGGGGCCTACCTGGGTCACTCCTCTCTGCAAAGGCCACTATGTGGATCCCATTCAGATCATCTTCCTGCGGGAGAAGAGAGTCAAAGGTTACGCTCCCAGGTGGAGAGACGCAAAGGAGTCAGGGACAGACGGGCTGCAATGAGAATGGAGGCCGGGGAGGCAGCGGAGGGGGATGCAGAGGCACAGGGGACAGGGGACACAGGCACAGGGGGACAGAGGCACAGATGCACAGGGGGACACAGACATGGGGGGACAGAGGCACAGGGGTCAGGCACAGGGGACACAGAGGCACAGGGCACAGAGCAGCATGCACCTCGAGGAAGGGAATACTGGTGAGTAGCTGGGAGGAAGGCGTGGGATTTGATAAGCGGGTTTTTGAGGCAGGAAAACACAAACGACACCCAGGACATTAGCACTGAATGGGCCTCACTCCCGTGGTCTGGCGGGTCCAGGAGGGCAGCAGGGAGAGGCAAAAGGGAGAAGAGCGTGAGCTGGCTCATCAGCAGCGCTGAGCGCAGCAAGCACTCTGAACGTAGCCCAGCGAATGTCAGTCCATGTTTCCAGAAGCCGCCACCAGCAAATATAAGCAGCGGTCGACCCGAGTATGGAAACCTCTGGGTGCTGCTGACAGATCCTGACGCTGACCCCAAACAGGCAGCAGACAGTGATCTTCAAGGCAAATTAGGATGTGGGTCCGTTTTGTTCACACAAGTGTCCTGCGTCGCTAAGACACCGCTTATTGAAGAGCCTGCGTGGTCAGTAGGGGGCATTTTGCTGTCTGCCACTGCTAGGGTGTTGCCTTGGGTTCCTTTTGGCTCTGGAACCAGAACTCGACGGAGCTATATAGGCCTCTAATGCACGTCTAAGTGTGGGGGGGGGGGCACAGAAGAGTCTGGAAATGGGGGCTAGGGAAGGCTGAGGGTGTGGTGGTGGAAAGTGGGTATGGCTGTGGAGGTCAGGATGAGGCAAAGAATCTAGAGAATATTTCAGCTCTATGGGACAAGCTCGTGGCATTCACGTTCCCATGTCCTGGACAGAAAGGACCATATGCCTCCTGTCTCCTTTGCATTGAGCGAGAGCTCGGAGGCACCTCCTTTATAAAAAATGTGATCCTCATGAGACTTGGGCAGGAAGATGTGTGAGAATGAGGCACTGGGGCCAAATCTGAGTGAATACTGACTGTCGCTGACACAGGGAGAGGGATTCGCTGGGCACCCTGAATGCCAGATCAGAATCATCCTATGCAAAAAAAAAAATACTCCAAGCATCTCAACCCTCTCACGATCCCCGTTTCCATTTTGCTTGATTTGAATGCTGGTGCCATCCTATCTAAATGCTAATTTTTTTCCTTTGAGTTTGAAATGGACAAAACCTGCAAAATTTCTGAGTGAGATTAAATGGAAAATATTATTATTAAGAACAAGAGAGTGGGCACTGCCTTGGTCAGATTCTCCAGGGAATTGAATTTTACAGATCTGTATGTGTGTGCGCAGGTTTATTACACAAATCTGACAGCAGCCAGAAGGGGAGCCTGGGGTTTCACTGCTTCACATTTGCTATTATCACCAGATAGAATACGCTGCTCAGTTCTCAGTAGGCTGCCCTGCGTCCCTGTTCCTGCCATCGGTGGGGAGGCGGCGGGATCAACTCCACGAAGCAGGCTTCATTTCTGCCTGCCCTTCCACAGTGCATTTGGAAATTGGTTTTAGAATCAAGAATCCATATCTGTTTACTGAGAGACTGCTCATAATATGGCTGTCACTCCCCAGGCCTCCGACGGTCCCTGGATGGAGAGCTGTAACCAAGGGAAAGAGCCTCTGTCTTTGTGGGTCCAGAGAGTCAGTATACAACCTGCAAAGAAACAGGGGTGTGCCCTGTGCCAGATATTTTCAGTAATAAACTCACAGAGCAAGACCCCATGGGCAAGCCTGGAGGGCAGGGCTGCTCAGTGAGCATCCCATGTGCACAGGTGAGGAGGAGCTGTGCTGGCCATCTGCAGGCCTGACCACCTAGGGCCGTTCTCTGAACCCCACAACCTTTGCTGCCGAGACCCCCCCATTTGGTCTCCAGGTCACATTGTCTTGGAAATGATCTTTTTACCTGAATAAATCTTCCCTTCTTAACCAGATGGCTCGATCTCTGAGGGAAGGGATTATACCTTGAAATAATGATGATAATTAAGACGACGATATTAATACCTGCCGTTTGCCTTTGTATCAGTACTTTCTAAGAACATCATTTCTAAGTCTTAAATGAAAGTCTTATTTCTGTTCAGTGCTTAAAGGATTGGAGCGACTTAACCTAAAGCCACAGAGCCGGTGGGTGACACACCTGGGAGTCCAGCCAGTTCTGTCTGGTCCCAAAGCCCTTGCTCTTTCTAGCTTACTGAGGGAGTCCAGAATAAGCCACGTGGCAGAAAAATTATTCTGAGCTGAAGGCATTTGAATTCCTGAAAACCCTTATTTGCCTAATTGCAGAGCCTCTCAAAAGAACTCAATTGTCATAAATCCTTTCCCAGGATGCAACCCTAATCTTCTCAAACAGATGTTGTCACAAACAACCCTCTGTCCCATTTGTTCTCCTAAGACCCATTTATCTTTCCAAAAGGTCTTCTGTTCTCCCAGGAGGGCCCCTCTGTCCCTCTCCAACCCCTAAGTTAGATGGTAGATAAGCCCCTCCCTGAGTTGCATTTTTGGTGCACTGCCATGAATAGACAAGTAATTAAACCTGTGTGTGTTTTTCCTGTCTTTTGTCAGTTAGTTTGCAGGCCTCCAATACCGAACCTAAGAGGGTAGAGGAACAAGTTTCTGCTTCTTACGTCGCCAACAGTACAGAATGAGCTCGTGAATCTGCTGTCCTCTCTACAGGGTGTGCAGAAGATGCTGCGGACTCAGGTCAGTGGCGCTTACTTACTTAAGCTGAAAACTCCCAAGAAGGGGCCCTTATATAACGAGACCAAACACCAGATCCCCCACAAAACTGGAGATTTGGGAGTTTCTTTGGCGAATACCTTACTCTGAACTCCCCAGCACTTTGCATGCCCCTCCATCACGGCAGGGAGCATCCTCGACTGGTGCCACCTGTTTCGAGACTGTTTCATTGACTCAACCCCGAACTCCTAAGGACAGGACAGCAATGCTCGTTTTTATCGCCTCCGTGCTTAGCACAAGCTAATAGGTTCTTACTGATGCCTATTGAATTTAAAACTCAAAGGGCTACTCCTCTTTGGGAATATGCCAGTCTCTACAAGGCAGAAGGAGTTTGCCACTTTCTTACCCATGTCTCAAACATATCCTCTGGGCGCAGGCGACGTAAGGTAGGTCTGGAAAAAAAAAAAAAAAAAGATGAGCTTCCTCGAGTAGGGATTCCGGGACACCGCAGCTGACCCCGTGCCCTGCTGTATACCACACAGAGAGCCGGCCTCAAGCTCTCAGCCTTTTCATAGACCCATTTGACCCAAGGATTAGAAAGTCCGTTACAAACAATGGGTCAGAGGGCGCAGGGTCAGCTCATTCCCAGGGCAAGAAGTCATCTCCTTCCTCCTAGAGAGATGCCACTCCTGAGAGCCCAGAGAAGGCCCAGAATGAGGGGACTGGGAGGGGACAAAGGAAGTCTTGATTTTGTTTTATCATTAGGGTCATCCATCCAAAGCCCTTTAGGGACGTTTGGAAGAGCAGGTAGGGCCTACATTTTGCTCCTGGTTTCATTGCTTTCTGAATGTTGCAAATAGTGCTAGAACGTTGCTATTGGCTTCTCCAAGTACTGCCGCCCTGTAGGGACTGGGACTGGCTGGTTGGTGGACTCATGGTGCCCCAGGTCCAGTGGGCATGCATGAGCATGTGCTGGGAGGGTGGGGCGAGACGGTGAGCCCACCACCACGTTCCATGTTCAGTATTGTCCCTCCCTCAAGAGCGGTGCTCAGCAAACTCCAGCTGGTGGGCCAAGTCCAACCAGTGCCTCCTATTTTTATAAATAAACTTGTTTGGGACACTGCCTCACCCAGTTGTTTAGATATTGTCTACGGCTGCTTTCCCACAAACAGCAGAGTCGAGTGTTGCAACCGAGACCATCTGGCCGCAGGGCCTGAAATATTTACTCTCTGGCCCTTTTCAGAAAAGGTTGCTGATCCACGCTTGAGCTGCTCCAAGTGGTGTCAAATAGTCCTCTCCCAGAAATCCCGTATACAGAATGCTCAGCTTGGCTGAGTTGCTAAACTACTCTGAGTCCAGTTCCTTGATCTGTAAAATTGGGAGATAATAATGACCCCCCTCCCCCCCCCGCTTATGTTGAATACAGGGGTTGCCAAAAGTAGGTTTACAGTTGGGATACAAATAAACAATACAATAATTAATAAATAAGAATATAAGAATAAACTCTGTGTTTCACTCACTCACAACTGTAAACCTCCTTTTGCCCACCCCTGTATTAGATAAAATAGCTCCCATAAGCACCCAGCATGGTACTTGGCATATAGGAGGCTGTCTCTAAATCACCATGGCTATTATTGTAGAATTCTACTTACATCTTGCTCTGGCTTTGAGGGGATTTGCCGACGGAGGGGAGGCGGTCTAACCCTGTCTGCAAGTGTAGACAGACCCATATCCAGAAAATGTAGCCATATCCCTGAAACTGATCGACGACTAAGCCATTCTGTTGAGTTCAGTTCTTCTGGGGACTAACTCCAGGTCGTGGACCTCGGGGGTCTGAAATGTCAGGACTGAGCGGCTCTTCTCTGTTTCCCAGACCCTGGGCGCCCCCACCCCCTGCATGCCATCTGGGGTACCTCTGGTGCTCCTTGATAAACTCCACGAGCTCTTCCTCTGTATAAGGTTTGTCGGGGATGGCAATGGGCTCGTCCATAAATGGCTCATAGAAGTCAACTTCATTCATCTTCAAGGACAGTTTCTTTGCAACCTGTGATGATCGGAAGGAGGATAGAGTTTCCTTGAGGGCTTCTCTCGAGTAGCAGCGGGGGTCGGCCTGTAAGGCGTGTGTGTGCTCTCTGGCAGACTTGAGCGTGTGTGTATATTTTAACTTAAATGTTACAGTGGTAAGAACTCGGCACGTAAGGCATGGCTGAACCAAGCAAAGGAGGACAGACAGGGAGGGGGAATCTCTCTGGCCAACGAGGTGCAAGCAGGGCCGGGGAGCGGTGGGAATGCAAAGTGGGAAATGTGATTCTACAGTTGCCATCGCTCCCCTGAATTTGCCAGGCTGGGGGAGAAGGAAAGGTCGGCCGAGATGCTCAGTGTTCTTGGACGTATGGATTTAATGGAATCAGTTTTGATAGAACAGGTAGTTGATGGGAACCATTTAATGCATATAGGTACCACCCGGCCAGCATGGCTCAGTGGTTGAGTGTCTTGAGCGTCGACCTATGAACCAGGAGGTCACCATTGGATTCCCCGTCAGGGCATGTGCCCAGGCTTCAGGCTTGATCCCCAGTAGGGGGCGTGCAGGAGGCATCCTGTTGATGACTCTCTCTCATCATTGATGTCTCTCTCCCTCTCCCTTCCTCTCTCTGAAGTCAATTAAAAAAAAAATACTTAAAGCATAGAGGTACTCAAAATCAGGGGCCAACCCATTAATCCTTCATCATCCTATAAACTCTACTTATTGTTTAGGTTGAAGCATGGGCCTAGGGTTGTCTCTCAGCGCTGCGCTTGGGTGATGGTTTCTCGGCTCTGGGAACCGCCCCCTTGGTTAACAGAAGGTGAGCAGCCGTCCTGGTTTGTCCAGAGTGGAGGGGCTCCCTGGACTCAGACTCTCAGAGCTAAAACTGGGTTGCGCCCAGCAAGCTAGCCCCAGTTGCTCCCTATACAGAGAAGGAGCCGGGGAGCCAGGTGTAGCCTGGAGGGCACCTCCTCTCTTGATTCAGTGGCCCCACAGTCTTGGGGCAGAGTGGTTGCTGTGTTCGCCTGCAGACCTGCTGAACTCAGAGCCTCTGTCTGTGAAATGACTTGAGAGGCCTGGAATGTGCCACGCACTGGAGAAAACCAAATGCTCTTCTTTCCTGGTTCAGAGCTGTGGTCCCAGAAAGCGCAGGATGAACAGTGGTTCCCTTGAAACCGAAGAGGAATTGCCTGAGAGCTGATGCCCGGCTGTGATAACCCACTGCCCAGGGCAGCCAGGACTAAGTGGGGAGGGGGCGGAAATGGGCATCACAAAAGCTCTTACACAAGGAGGTCCATTCTGAGGAAACACGGGTGTCCCTGTGGTTTTTGTCTGTGACTCCTATTAATTCCAGGTCACTATATTCCCAAGGACATTTCTTATAGTATCTAACAAAGAAACTGGCATTCAGCTCAGAGCTCAAGAAAACAGGTCATGTTAAGAGCCACAGTCAGTCAAATGAGATTTTGGGGTCCTGATGATTTTATTTTTTAAAGGACAGGGCGGTAAGGTATTTTTTCTTATTCAGGGGGTGGTACGGATGATGGTGGGGGAACAAGAGGGCAGGGCATGCCCTAGCCGGTTTGGCTCAGTGGTTAGAGCGTAGGCCTGTGGACGGAAGGATCCCGGGTTCGATTCTGGCCAACAGCACATGCCTCGGCTGCAGGCTCGATCCCCAGCTCCAGGTGGGGCAAGCGCAGGAGGCAGCCGATCGATGTGTCCCTCTCACATCAGTGCCCCCCCCTTCCACTCTCTCTGAAAAGCAATGGGGGAAAAAAATCCTGGGGTGAGGGTTAAAAAAAGGGGGGGGACAGTGCAAGTAGCAACTTCTACAGCCAGCACCCGCGTTTACACACCGCTCTTCGCAGAGCTGGGCCCGGAACGACTCGCGGTCCTGGCTCTCTGACCTCGCTTACTGCTCAGGCGAAGTGGGAGTGACGGGCGGAGAAAGGGGCGGGAGTGAGCACCGCGGGCTTGCCGCGGGCCCGCGTTTTAGGGCGATTCCTTCCCGAGCCCTCCCTGTGACCGTGTCAGGGAAAAGCTGGCCTTCTAGGGACTTCACAGATGATGAGCCCGAGGCGCAAGGGAGGACGCAGCTCGGCAGGATCATCTGCCCGGAGGGGGTAGAGCCAGCATTGAAACCCAGTTCGCCAGTACGCCAGCTTTTCCTAGAAACTCACCTTTTCCCTGACCCTGTAAAGAAAGCTGTGTGTCCCTATCAGTGCTCCACTGTCACTGCAAGTGTTTAGTGAGATGTTTCCTGTTGCTCTGGAGCGTGCTCTCAATTCGCCCCATCGCAGTCTGGTGGAATTTAGGCTTCCTGCAGGTGAGAAGAGCTCATCAGAGCTCTGGGTGCACCCACGTGTGTGAATATACGTGTGTGTGTGTGTGTGTGTGTGTGTGTGTGTGTGTGTGTGTTGGGGGGGGGGCTGTCTCTGGTCCTTGGATGCTAGTGTCCAGGTCTGCAGTGTGAAGACCATGAACGTGAGGTTGGGTTGTGATGTTGTTTCATTTCATTCTGGGGATTGCTGAGCAAAATTTCACCTTGCCAGGGCCAGGGCCCAGGAATCCACCATTTTAAAAGCTCCTTGGGGGATGCCAATATGCACAGTGTTTGGAAACAACTAACTCCCAAGTCTACATCAGCAGCCCTGACTGCCCACCCTCTTTACATTTCCCCAACTCATAGCAGTCCCCCATAGCCACGGTTTCAGTTACCCGCTGTTTCAGTCACCTGCACTAAATCACGGCCCGAAAATATTCAAAGGAAAATTCCAGAAACAAGCAATTCATGAGTTTAAATTGTATGTCATCCTGAGTGAGGTGATGGATGCAGCTATGCCTGCTGGACCCCACCATGTCCATTGGGTGCTGTCTCCCACACCCCTAATTGACGGGTGCGAGTTCTTGAGTCCCACATGGTGCTGAGTCCTCTCAGTGGGACAGCCTTTCCCTCTGGCTCCACACAGTGGTGGAGAGTATTTAACTTTCTCTTTCTGAATGTCATGAGGCCCCACAAGGCTACACAGACAATGGCACCTATGACTCAGTGTCATACAGGGTTTTAGTGAAGAGCCTTCTGAGTTTTTAATTGCAGCCTGACCTCACCTTCTTTACGGGCCACAGACACGAAGCCATGTGCTGGGCTGGCGGCACATCTGAAAACCGACCCCACCCTGCAGACTGACCTGGGTTGGGATCTCAGCACTCCCGTGAATTCACTGGAGACCTTGGATATTACTTAACCTTTCTAAATGTTTTTTTCTCATCTGGAAAATGGGTGGGGGGAGTCTCCCTTTCAAAGTTGTTTAGAGGACTGGAGATTGTGTTAGTCCAATATATCAAATTGTGCCCCCCCCCGCCCCCGAAAGCACTGGATAAGCAGTAGCCATTTTAGTGGTACCCGGAGCCACGGTAGAGTACTCCCACCTCAGTGGAACCCAAGTAAAGTTCCCATTGAGTCAAGGTCCCTCCATCTCAACTGTTCATTGGCTTATAAAGCACTTTCCACATCCAGGAAACAAAGAGCCATTGAATTATAGACGAGTGCATTAGTGACATCTCCCGAAGACGTAGGTCAATGCCTGTCCCCATTCCATCCCTCACCCTCACCCAGAAGAGGGACCGTGTGACCCCGGGGAGGGAGGGGACAGCTCTAAAAAAAGGAAGCAGTGTTAGTGTCCGGCACACTCTGGTTCACCACTTTTCATTGGATGTTTTCAGAAATACCCCTACATCTTCTGAACGAAGCACCCTTGCACTCATCTCTCGTTCATTAGGGACACACCGCCACATTTCTAACACGGGCAGAGGGTGGTTAATGTTGCTAAAAGAAAAGAAAAAATGGTGGGACATTCAGACATTAATACTTTGTGCCTACAAAAGCAGTCAAACTGGGGTGTCATGGGTACTCACCCCTTTGTCGAAGGTCGCGAAAAATTTGATGTAAGGCTGGAAGTGTTCAGCTGCTTCTTCAAAAGCCTTGTAATCTAAGAGGAAAGAGATGGAAGGAGAGACATCTTCAAGGTGCACACTGCTGACACTTTTCCTTTTTAAATAATGTAGAGAGTGGGGAGCCAATTAGTCCTGACTGGATAATTATTGAGTAGGTATTATTTAGATAGATAATTATTTAGTACCATTTAAATCCACAGTTCCCCTGAGGAGTTGGACCTGATTGACATTCAATCCCCCAAAAGCACTCTTGGCCACACTGTTGTACGTTTTATGAAACTGGTAGATGGGAAGGAGAAAACTCAGAGAGAACCAGGGAAAGAGAAGGAATTGTCAAGCTCCGGACCAAAAGAAACAGTTCTTTCTTGGAAACTCACCGCTGGTGGTAAACGTGCCCTCTGGAGAGAGTGCAGCCTGGTAAGGAGGAAGATGATGGGAGCAGAAATGCACCCCAATGAAAACGACAGCACAGAAGCATTTTAAACTTCTTAGCAGGAGCACTCTTTTTAGTAGATCCTAGTTTTTATTTCCTTCTTTTTAAGTTTTCCCTCTTTTATTCTGACCCCTTAAAATCAATCAAGACCACCCTTGACTGGCCCCAAGCTGGAGCGCAGCCGGTGAAGGGAGGCCTGAGGCACGCGGGTGGGCCGCGCTGTGCCCTGCCACACCCAGGCAGCTACCTGGTCACGCCATTCGGGTTCAAGGCCTAGATCTGGGGGTGATAATGGCAGTGGTGCTGGTGGATGCTCCAGGATCCTGGAGTCAATGATCCTATGACTCATTCCTAACAGGAGTGACCTTTTGCATTTCATGGAATTCCATATCCCTTCGTCATCAGAGGATGAGCTTTGTAGAATTCCAGGAGCACGAAGCATTGTCTAACATTCAATCAAAGACATTTCAAGAATAGCGCTGGCTCAGGGGACACCGAGATGAGTGAGGCGAGGCCAATGGTCAAAGGTCCAGGGAGCGCTGCCGACTCTTAAAGAATCACAGCGCAGTGTGACAGCGGCTAGAACAGAGGTGGGTACAAAAAACACAGAGGAGAGAGGGGCGGGAGAGGGTACAAGGAACCCGTGCATACCATCCACATTCACACAAACTCATCCTCACGTAAGTGGTTGCGTTGTCACGAAATAGGTCGCATAGGCTGACAGTCGGAGTAGATGAGTGGAGGGGAAGAAGATGGGTGGGAGATTTGGAGAATGAATAGAGGGACGTGAGAGAGGTTAGAAAGGGAATGGTTCAAGCCATAGCTAAGTCATTTACGCCTATTCAAAGCAGCAGCGGGCTCCATCAGAATTCTCTGTTCCCCCTTCCCTGTCCCCTTTGTCGCTGATGAACCTCTCTCTACCTCCTGAACTCCTACCCCGATGGAAGGCACGGCCTAGACCTGAGTCAGGAGAACTCCTTTCTTCTCTTGGGGAGCCAGTCTGTATCCTCACGAGGATGGGAAAGTGTGGGGCAAGGTAAATCCCAGGTTGGAGCTTCAAGCTAGGGTTGGACCCTTAGTCTCTTGCAAACAATTGTCTAGAGGAAACCTGGTCTAGTCTTCTATTCTGATCTCATGAGAAGCACCCCAGACGAGTCAGCATCTGTGTAGAAATGTGAAAATTGAAATAAAGTCACCTAAAGAACTGGGGCAAACTCCCTGGCTGGCCACCTTCCCCAGCACACTCTTAAGGAGGGTGAATAGAGGCTTTTATGTAGCAAATGAGGAGACCATTCAGTTGGGGGAGAGAAAATTGGTGGGTTGTTGAGATGACTAAGGATGCCAGTTGGCAGATGGGGTAGAGACACGGCTTCACAGATAATTTCAAAATATTTTGGAGTTTCCAGAAATAGCCAGAAGCAGCCCTTATTTGCACTTCCCTCATGTACTAATGCTCCCAGATTCTCTTCCGTAGTTGTGCCCACTCCCTCTCTCCAAGGCTGAGACACGAGAAGAAGGCTTAACTCACTGGGCTGTGCTGCCAAAGCAGCTTACGGAAAGGTACTCAGGTAGTTAGTTTTGCTGGTCCCTTCCCTTCCTGATCCCTCCTGACTCCTGCTCACCACCCTCTCACCCCTTGATGAGTTGCGCTGACGCTATGATATGTTCCTGTGCCCACCCAAATGCCGGCCGCAAAGCTTTCAAAGGGGATACACCCAAGGGTGTGGTGTGTTGCAGGCGCCCTCGGTGGTCAGCCGGGTTGGCCAGCAATTTCCCACATTGTGCTGCAGCTGCTAAGCCCAGCCCTACCCCAATTTTCCTCTCATGCTGTCCAAGTGACTGAGAAGCTCTCCAGCTGGTGACCACAGGAGCTACCGGTGTCAGGGAGACAGCCCACTATTTGCCCCATTTTAGGGGAGACTCCAACTGGTGGTTGGGCAGGTGGGAAAGTGGAGGAAGGGCTTTTATATCTGCTGTAAAACACTCACCCCCCTTCAAGGCCGGAGGACGTGGCCCAGCCTTAAGGTTCTTTCCGCTCCCCTGACGGTTTTGCAAAATCAGTGCAGGTGTCCCATTGCCCTGGGTGCAAGGAAGACTCTTCCTCTCTTCTACCCGGCACAGGACTTGCCGATGGCCCATCATCTTTATGGAAAACCTGATGTACCTTGTTGAGAATCTAGCCTTAATCTGACAGGCTGGGGTTGACAGACAACTTACATTCTGAGTCTTCGCTCTTGAAAAAGCCAATGAGTTTGATCTGGTCCTCAATGCGTTCAAAGGCTTGGACTTCCAGTTTGTTGCCGATGACCTCCACTGGGTCTTCAATGAGCTGAAACACCACACACATGTACACACAATCGGTTCCTTCCCCCGGAATCAGGCACATATGCGGAGGGCATTGGAGGGAGGTAGCGGACTTCAGTTGGTGCCTCAACATCCATCCCACCCTCCCCGGATGAGTACATCAGCAGCGCCTTTTGAGGACTTGACTTTAACTCAAGGAGTAGGCTGGTTGGTCTGGGGCAACTCTATTTCTCTTGCCATTTATTGGTTCAGGAATGGCATGAGACCCAGTTCTGGTAAATGAATCTCCAGGGAAGAATTGCTGAAAGCTTTAGGAAAGTTCTGCTTTCTCTTTCAGGCAACAATGGGAAGCCAGATGTTTCCCTTCCCTCTCAGTGAATATTAATGAGGAGATGTGATGTATTAGCTGTGCTGCTGGCTACCTTAGAACCAACTTGGAAAGAGCTTGGGGACAAAGTGAACACACTGAAAACAGCATTATCCATGATTTACAGAGAAACATGGAGCTAGAGCCCTGATTTGATCAAGTCTAAAATCTACTCTCACTCTGGACTTCTATCTGTGAGGGTCAATCACGTATCCTATTGTCTAAGGTAGCTAGAGTCTGGTGTCTGTTATGAGCTCCTGACAGCCTTGGCCTTGCTGGTAGAGCCAGGACAGTGCCACATTGGCTGAGCTGTTCAGTTGCTGCCCTCAACTTTTTTAGGGCTTGTAGTTATGTGTCAATGAAAGGGCCAAGGAGAATCTATGGACACTTTTTCATAGGACGTGACCTTCAACTCACTTTGACTCTCTCTCTGGGTTTTTGAGGCTGTGGAGAAAAGGCTAGAGACCACTGTGGACCCGCCGGTAGATAAAAAATCATTAGTATGGATGTTCTTTTCCTGTACAGGACTCAGTGTTCAAAAGCAGCTTGAACTTGACTTCACAGCTGCTATTGAAAGTGTGAGCTTATCTATGGATAAAATATTTTTATAGTGTTTGTTCCTCTTTTAGCCTCAGCATATGGATCTGAGGGCAGTGCACCTCCATGGCTAAGAGGAAGGATGATATGGGGGCTCATTAGTCCTGCCCCATTTTACCCTGCTCTGAGGATAACTCAGCTGATTGATTGTTACCCCTCTTCCTACTGGTCTTCAGGTGACTATCCATCTCCTCCTCACACTCCTCAACTCCTGTTCAGAAGCACTGGAGCAAAGCCAAGGGGATTTCAGGGGAAGTTGGTGTATAACTGCTAAGAGAATTAACATGTTACTACTACACAGTTCTGATCTGTGACCCTCTGATCACCAATAAAAGCATTTCTAAGGTGACTTAAGGGCCAGCTTCCCAGAAGTAAATAGCACTGGGATGTAGGCTCTCCTTGATTTTTTGTGAAGCCTGAGAGATCTGTCTTAGGCCGAGTCTGGTTACCCAGCTTCTGCGTTCTTATTTAAAGGTTTTACTTCCCCCTATATTTGAACCCAAACAACTCCACGCAGGGCCCCTGTGCATAAATGCTTACGTCCAAGAGAAACTCCACCAGGACATCAGCTGAAAACTCGCCGTCAAACTCAATTGTGCGTTCGCCCTTCAGGACGTACAGGCTTCCTTCTTCATGAAAACCTGGGACGAAGAGAGAGTTCCCAGGACAAGATCATCCTGATGTAGGAAAAACCATCATCCCGCCGGCCAGGTCAGGGCGAGCGGAACCAGCCTTAACCCTAGGACTGGCTCCCTTGACACCACACCGCTGAAGCTCTCCCAAAATGGAAATTTAAACCAAAATAGTCCAGAACCAACAATGCCACCTGGATTTTCACTTGAAAGAAAAATCTATTCTCCATCCCAGCACTGCTTTAATTTTCCAAAAATCCTGTGACCCCATCCACCCCATCACAGTGTTTTAATGCCCACTGCCCATCTGACTCCTTAGCCTGCTATCCAAGCCCTTCCACAATCTCATGCCAGCCCCACCCTGTCCAGATGCCCTTGGGTAGACCTGTGCTCCTTTGAGAACTGCTCTCTTAATCCCTGTCTCCCTTCGCTTCTTGCCCACAGGCTGATCTGACAGGGTGCATAAAAGAAAGGCCACATGATCCTATACCCGTGGTTCTCCTTGCTCCTCAAGTCTGGGGCGACCCCTGCCTCCCTCTGCGATCTTGGTGAGCACCTTCAGCTCTCAGTTCAGGACTCATTTTTCCCAGGAAGGCCACCCCAGTGTCTCCTGCCGGGATTGATCTTCTTTGAGATCCATGTGCGTGCACTCACGATAGCAGTAAGCTCCCTAAGGGGAGGGCCATTGTTGTCTTGGTAGCTCAGGGCGTCACACGGAGCCTGGACACACTGGGCGCCCCACCAGGCTTTGTGGCCAGGACGAGCAGCTTGCTTTTCTAGGGCAGCTGGATTTGGCACATCTCTCCCCGAGTAGCTGAGGGTGCTGCGAGGGCGGGGTCTGCACCTACTTTCTACCCTCCGCGCTCTTGGCATGAAGCCGTGACTTTAACAGATACGTCCAGCAAGGCCGAAAGAGCTGCGGCTGCCATTTAGTCCAACTGCGGGCGTCCTTAATGCCTTAGATGAATTGTTTTCAAACTCTCTGTTAGCTGGAGAAAGCTTTCTCCAAACGAACTCCTCTACGTATCCTTTAGGGAAAGGGAGACTGCCCCACAACCGCTCTGTCCTGGGGGACATCGGAGGATCCCCGGGCGCACCACCGAGCACCATTTCTAAACCTAAAGGGGCAGTGAATCATGTACCCTTGAACCTGGCAGCGGCCGATCCCAAGGGCACCGCAGGGACTGTCAACCAGTGTCCTGCGGTTGGGTTTTGCTCCGAGTGAAACCGGTTAGGAGGCTGTGGCACTGGTTCAGGCACAGCCCAGGGGAGACCCACTCAGGCAAGCGGGAGGGAAGATGGAGACGAAGGCGCAGGTTGGCAAGCGCCACTGTCCCGGGGACTCCGAGGACCGGCAGTGGAGAGGAGCCTGCCCGCAGTGCCCCAGGCAGAGCCTGGGGAGGGGCCGGCTGAGGCTTCGCAGGCCCCTCGCGCCCTCGGGGAGAAGGGCCCTGGGCCGCTCCTCTGGACGCCTGCCCGGCTAGTCTTCCCTACATTTTTAGGTCACAGGGACTCTCGCGTCTTCCCCAAACTGAATTCACTGGAAATCTAACTTCTCTTTAGAACAGTGGGAAGGGAGAAGACTCAGGAATCGGTAGGTGCTGGGGAAGAGAAAGTTCATTCAGCGGCTTTCGACTAAGGAAATGGTTGAACATGCTTTGCTCTCCTGCTCAAGAGAAAAAAACATTCCTTAACTTATCTCTAGAGAAAGAGATACCTCCGACATTCTTAATAATTCATTATCATTTTATAGTCAGGAGTTCTTGCTTGTGTCCAACCTAAGTACTGTCTCCTGCAATTTAAATCCTAAAAAAAAAAAAAAAAAAAAAGCTGGTCTTCTTGAAAATAAAATAGAAAACAGTTGTTCGTGATCCTCAGAGATAATGAACTTCCATGTACCTGAAGGTATTTATTGAAGCACCACTAATCTCTCCCCCCATGCTTACTGCTCTGCGTCCAATTAACCTCCCTTCAAAGGTCCTGTTTTATAACCTCCTGCGATGGCCGCTGTTCGCTGGTCATGCGGAAAACGCAAAATGGGCCGTGCATGGCAGGGTGTTTGAAAAGCAGAGAAGTTACCTATTTTCTCGCTCCTTGGGATTAGCAGTGTAAGGATCTTAGAGTAAACTTGCGCGTGAGCATGACCTACTGACACGGAGATCGCAGCCCGCACGGCGCAGTCGCTCACGCGTAACTCATCGAAATCCTCCCTCTCATCCTCGGTGATAACGCCCAGCTGGGGTTCAGCCTTTCATTTAGAAACCACTGGGACATCAGAGTCACTACCACGAATGCCGTGTGTGTCGGAAATAACAGGTGCTGGAAGGAGAGACCTGACCTCCCTCAGAGACCACCGTGGTAGTGAGATAGAGAAGCCGGCCTTTTAACTCTAGGATCTAAAAATAAAGGTTTAAATCTTTAGTGTCAGTTTCTCCAGGAAGGAATCCTCTTCATCACACTGATACAAAGATACACGAGATGATTCATGTAAAACCATTCAATTCAGGCCGGTACTTACTTTTACGAAACTCTTCTACAACCCAAGACTAGGCTATGCAAGAGCCTAATAATGAAAATAATATAAAGCTCAGTTATCATGCATGAAACTATACTTTTTTTTTTGTAAGACACTTTGTTTCTTCCTGATATATCTCAAAAAAAAAAAAAAAAAAAAATCACACTTACCCAGTTTCTTGGCAAGCTTGGCTTCTTTCTTGGCATCGACCATCACAAAGCCTATGTCTTTATGTTCCAGGACTTGGGCCACAAGCTGAAGGGAAAGACAGGGAGAGTAAGTGAGCCCAAGGCTGAGAGATACAGACCATGTCATGGGATAATGTTTGAGGTTTTCGGGAGGGTTTTCCTTCATACTCCCTGTCACTGTCACTAGCTAGAACAGTGGGGAGGATTCTTGCTTATCCCCTCCAGAGATGGATGACTCAGCGGGGTGAGTGCTGAACCAAGGAGAGAAAACGTGAGGACCAGCCCCAAGAGAGAAGGTTTGGAAGACTACGTCTACTCTCCCACACCCTTCTCTGTCCTTGGGGTGGATGAAATTTGAATTGGGAGAGAAGAGAATCAGAAAGGAAAGGAAGTCCTCGGATGCTCATGGATACCTGACAAATGAGCCTGGGTGGGGTGAGGCCACAAGAGGACACCAGATAGGCTGGAAGACCTTAGAATAAAGGAGACCTGTGTCCCTGACCTCTAAGCATAGTTCTCGAGTCTCCCCACTCGTGGAGTAGGAGTGTCCATTGGCGTTTCGGGCAAATAGACCTGAGCTGGCCTCTGAAGTTCTCCTGCAGCCCTTGGAGAAGAGGAATTGGTAGGACCTGCAGGTGAAGACAATCCAGTGGTGATCTAGGTGGGCAGATGGCCAAAGACTCCTCTGAGTGGACACCAACCCAGATGACACCAAACACAAGCTTGGGTGAGCTCCTGAAACTTAGACACAGGGAAGTAGGGAGACCCTCCATTGACCGAAATCTAATTCCTGCCATCTGGCTGGATGGGAGCTTAAAAAAGAAACAGAATTGAAGCTACCAGAGAGATCATGAAATGCGAGTATTACTTTTCTTCAGTGAAACTTTAAAAAAACAGATAACTGTAGATGAACATGCAGTTCTAAGAAGTAACACAGAGAGATCGGGGGCTTTCAGGATGGTGTGGCCAAATCCAACAATTTTGTAACAACTATGGCGCCAAGTGGGGACTGGAAATATCAGGAGGGAGGCTTCCTGGGCCTCAGCGCCAGCAAGCAGAGAATAGACCTGGGGTGGGGCTCGGGAACCTACCTTTTCATAAACCACACGACCATGCCCCTGATTCTGATGTAGCAGATTTCATGCCACACTCTGGGAAACACTGTTAGAAAGGTGCTAAGGCGTAATGTTTTCCAGCCATGACCCATGGGCCCCTGCCTGGCCCTGTGGGCCCCTCTACCTTAGGCAGAGAAGAGAAATACTAATATTACTGAGAATATAAGAAATTGACTGAAAATTAAACACAGAATTTAGCTCTGATCTCTCCTAAGCTTACACCAATATGTTTTGATGGTTCTTTAGTGGATGCAGATGTGTGCCTCTCCTAGGCATGTCAGTCATAGCCTTCTAATTCCCTTATTGCTTATTGACTTTTAAAGACATGTGAGTGGAGGGGAAGGCACTATCTCAGACAAACTCAGTTTTTTCTCCTGGTTTCCTGTTTAACTAAGCATAGCCCCTCACTGTCCTAGGCCTGGACACACAGACAGAAGCGGTAACCACAGGTGGGCAAGAAAGCACACTAGCAGGGCCTGCTCACCTCCTCCGTGGCGCACTTACCCACAGTCCCTGCAGTGTCCCATCACTCTCACCTCCCACCGTGATTAGGCCCAAAGCTTGCCCACTTGAGCTCTGTCATCACTTCCGTCAGCCCTAGCAAGCACCTTGCATGAGCCTAAGCCAAGGGTGGCCAGGGCTGGCTGGCTGCACCCCAAGAGAGAGCAGTGAGACTTGGGGGTAGGGCAGGAGAATGGTTATGGTGAAAGCCCAGGGCCTTCTGGGCTGACTCCTGACCCGACCCATTCCCCTCAGGACCAAGATGCCCTGCTGGGCTGGTAGAGCAGGCCAGACATTGCCTGCCTCTCATGTTTGGCTGGATCTCACCTCCGCCTTTGCCCTGGCCCTGAATCTCCAGCTCCTATGTTCCTTTCTCCACTCTGCTAAGCCCAGTCCCACTGCTCACTGCACTTGCTGCCAGCTCTGGCCGCCCTTGGCTGCAAAGCCCAGCTCCAGGTCATGTTTCACCCCAGCCTCCTTTCTGTGAATTCCAGGAGCTCATCGCAGAGACGCAGCGCTGAGACACTTATTTCACAGTCGTGAGCACTGTGCGTCTCTTCTGTGCTATGCATCCTTCCTCCCTGAGAAGGACCCGATTTGTGCCTCTCTCGTATCTCGTACAGTTCCTTAGAGACACTCAGGATTTGTATGAAAAATGGACCAGCCCAAGTACTTCACAAATTCCAGGGACATTTGAGCCAAAGAGAAAGAGGCGACTGCCACCAATTACAGTGATTCGGAGTTACAAATAGGGGAAGGAGAAAAGGTAGCCCCTGCGTCCCCTAAACTCCAGAAGACTGGAGCACTCTTCAGATCTGCCTGCAGTTTTTCCCTGTTGGCTTACAGTCTTTCCGCTGCTTGTTTTGTTTGTTTGTTTGGTTGGTTGGTTGGTTTACTGCTTCTCAGACGGTCTCACCTATTGTCCACCAGGGAGTGTAATTGTTACTCTCTTTGCCTTTGTACATTGAATGTATTAGATTTCACATCCATGTTGCACGTGAAGTAGCTTTTAAATCGTAATTTGAAGGGACCATGCTCCTCTGGTGGGTTCCACCTTCAGAGTATGACATGAGCATTTTTAAATTCAACAGCTTCGTACAGAAATTGAGAATTCTGGCTTTCCTTGAGAAATCAGAAAAGATGGGCCCACATCGCTCACTGCCTTGCAGCAAATAAATAAGTTTCTTAAATAAATGAATGGATAAAAGAGGAGACTGCTGGATCTTGAGGGAGGAGGGGTGTGTGGGTAGGTGGAAGATAGCAGCAGGGAGTCCCAGGAGGAAGGAATGGCACAGCAAAGGTTTGGAGGGCCCACAGGGGAGTGTCGGAGGACAGGCTGACTTCCTTGAGCAGAGGGCTTCTTTGGGGACACGCAAAGGAGTAGCGTCCTCGTGAGAAAGAATGTGAAGGACTCTGAATGTTTGGACTAGCAGTTCTGACTTGGGAGATGTTGGAATAGAACAGAACATGGTTAGTTTGGGTTTGGGGAGGGTGATCTGGGGGCATAGACCCGACAGATAGAAAGGAGAGTGGAAAGGAAAGGTGACCAGCTGGGAGGCAGATGCCACAGTTAAGTGGGAGGGGGCTGGTCTCAGACAGAGGCAGTGGCAGGGGGTGGAGACGGTGCACCTGGTGAGGTGAAGTTACAAAAGGAGGGTCCGGCAGACCTGATAACTCTTCCTGGCCTTGGAGAGAAAGGGGAGGGAAACCAAAGGAGAGGAGAAGGCAAGATGATGCCAGGGTCTCGGACCAGGACAGAGTGAAGGGCTGAAGAGTGACGTCAGGAGGGCATCCCAGAACCAGGGGCAAGGCTGTCGGCCTGGACTTAGGGGCAGCAAGTTCATGGCAATGGAAGTCCAGCCAGGAGCTGGAGGTGCCAACCTAGGGCTCAGGGGAGAGGTCCCGAATGGAGCTGTGGAGGTGAGAGGTGCAGGCCTGAGGGTGGCCAGAGCAAGAAGCGGCAGAGGACTGTGAGAGAAACAGGGAGGGGACAAAGAACATTGTGCCGTGACTCCAAAGTCTCGGGTAGAGAGAACCTTGAGAAGAAGTGGGTGGCGGGATCAAGTGTTGCAGGGAGTCACAGGGGGTGGGACCCCCGTGAGGTCTCTTCTTTCAGGACGGGTAAGTCACCGGTGACCTTTAGAGAGGAGCTGGGACAGAAGCCAGAACACTGGGAATTAAGCATCTGAGTGGTGGCAAGGACATGTTAGAGCAGGTGCGGGTCACTTGTTCAAGAGGTTTACCCATGAAAACGGGGACACTAACACAGAAGCACCAGGGGACACGGTCCCCGGGCTGTGCGACTGCTCCCTGGGCCTCAGAGGACAGCACCTACAATATGCCAGGGGCCAGGGTCGAATCTGAGGACTGACGAGCCCGGGGGGAAATGTCACAGATCTTTGCTCAAAATGAATGTCCCTCAGGCCACTCATTAAAAATACCCTGGCTGCCATCCTGCTCTGCCCATGGAAGCTAAGAGCCCAGCGGCTGTTCTCACCCACTGTCCCTGATACCATCTGGCGGCATGTCAAGCAATTCAACAACTGTGTGTCCTGCCCTGAAACGGGAGAGCTGACGCTTATCCCCCGGTAATCTCCCGTCGCTTTCCACCGCCCTCAAACAGCCTGATCTATGTATAGCTCGGGGTGGGACGGGATGCGTCCACCCAGGAGGCAGGGGAGGGGACGGAGCAGCTATTTTATGAGATTCGGGTGAATACTGGGGCCTCTGGGGGCTGGGTTGGGTGGCCTCTGAAAAAGCCTTGGGGGCGAGGGAAGCTGTCCATTTTTTTATTTTGTGCTATAACCTTGGTCAATGCCAAAGTAAAGACCAAGGGCCACTGCTGTTCTTAGTGTGTTCTTTCCACTCTACCACATTGAGAAACACCGTAGCAGCAACATATTGGGTGTTTACTACCTGCCAGATACCGCTCCCACACCTACTATGAATTATCTTATCGAATCACCCCCAAACCCACATGAAATAGAAGTTTGCAGATGAGGAAATGGAGGCACAGAGAGGCTAACCAACTTGCCTGGACCACACAGCACTGAAGCGACAGGGATTCCAGCCCTGACATTCTGGCTCCAGAGCCCAAGCTCTCGTCCATGACACCCAACTCCCTACACCTGGGCCTCACGGGGACCTGGGCCCCAGTCCTGGCTCTGCTGCTTGTCAGCTGTGAGACTCTGAGCAGTCACATTCGCTGGGTACCCTGAACCAGGGTGGCTGTGTGTCCCTGTAAGGTAGAGGCAGGTGGGCATGTGAGGGGGTGCCTGTTGCCCCACCTCCCTGCCAGGTGCACAGCAGATGGTGAGGAGAGGCCTGCCTGGCGTGGGGCACCGGGCAGCAGGCAGGCGGGCGCCGCTAGAACAGGCGCTGGGCACTGAGAAGCGCTCTGGCCTCTCTCCTGTGTGCCTGTCCAAACAGAATCAGCTCGTCTGGGTAAAAC